TTCATCGGGGGCCGCATCAGCAGTATGGTTACCCTCAAAGGGCCGGTTGTATAGGACTATGCATCTACTCTTTATTATCATAAATAGTTGCCTCTGCATTCAGTTGCTACTGGTTTTAATAATAATTTAAGTAATAACTAGCCTTGAAAACATCCACAAGAAACTTTATTGGAGACTGCTCATGATGCCTCTTGATCCAACCATCATATTCCTCTTTCCTCTAGTTTTCATCAGTCCCTCCAGCGCTGGTGCCAGTCTCTGATCCAGTGCTGACTGCTGCGTCTTCTGTGACCCTTTGCGATCTTCAGATCTTCGGACGGGAGCGCGCGACGGAGACATAGGTGAGTTTGAACCTGTATGGCAACTTTTTTTTAATGTTTTTGCATATATCTACTGCTTGCTAGCAGTAGATATATGCAAAAATCTGCAAATGTTTAATTATCCTTTAATGATGTAGCACACTGGACAGAGCTGACACCACTATTAAAAAAGAAAAAGCGGTATGTTGTCAGCCCAGAGCAGGACTCGGGAGCTGAAAGCATTTCTGGCAGATAAATGGGAATTTTTCTGTACATGTCAGGTCTCTAAAGGTTCATGTACTGCAGACATGTACTGTGAATGTTTTTTTTTTTTTATTTGGTATGCCTTGGCAATACAAGACAAGGCTGTTGTTCTAGGGGGAGAAAAGATATAAATCTGCCTGTTCTTAGAGTCTTATCTGTTGTTTGGAATGTAAATTTTAACTGCGCAAAGACTGCATCTGAGCAAGCGTGTGGTCATTGTTATTTTCTCGCCCACATAATCTGAGAGTTCACTGCATTTGATCTGTATCATTCAAGATACTCTGTTGAGCAGCAGAGGTGTGTCATAAATTACCCAGAGAAGCAGATTTCATTATCATACCACACATACAGTATACTGTATGTACTGGCGGTTTAGAATATTTGTATGGTGGGCTAATGTAGCTTGGTTTATTGGTGGGTCCTGATTAGGCCAGGATCACACCTGACCTAGGCGGCATCGTTTTTGCGCATTTATACCCATGTGTTCAAGGTGCGGTTATTTGCACGTTTATGCGTGTTTTACACATTTTTATGCAGGTTTGTAGGCGCGTACATGAAGACGCTCATTTTGACTGGCAGCTTTTTATTGAAGTCTATAGGGAAAAAACGCACAGTTAACTGCCCAAAGAAGCTCATGTACCTTTTTGGGTGTCTGGCTTTTTCCTGCTGGCGTTTTCAGGTGTGAATAGGGGCCATTAAAAAACATGGGGTTTCTTGCGCGTTTAAAAGCGCTTTTCCAACTGCTCAAGAATGCCTAGGTGTGAACCAGGCCTTATTACAGTTCAGACATTACTACCCAAAGACTGGATTCACATCTTTGCATTATAACTTGATGAAACTGAAAACAAAGGAAATGTATTAAAACACATCTTAATGCATGTATTCAGAGGTGCATCAAAATGCATGTTGTTATCATAATGTCCAAAATGCACCATGACCAGCATTATGAAGCTTGTTGCCATCCAATGCAATGCATTGCAACACATATGTCTTGATGTGCTTCCATGTTCCCCCTGTGCTTGTGTGGATTTCCTCTGGGTACCCCGGTTTTCTCCCAGGCTCCAAAAACATTCTAGTAGGTTTATTGGCTCCTGTCTAAATTGGCCCTCGTATGTATGCATGTGAGATAGGGACCTTAGATTCTAAGCTCCTTGAAGTGACATTTAAGGATAAAGCCCCCCCTCCCCCCCCAATGTTAGTGTAAGAACTTACATTAAATGATGCCTATTGATCCGATCATCTTCTTCTTTCCTGTAGTTTTCAGCTGTCCCTCCAGCGCTGGTGCAGGTCTCTGACCCAGCGCTGACTCCTCTGTCCTCCTCTTCTCTCATGTCCCACAGTGTCTGTGCGGGTGCACGCTGCTCCATAGACTTACCTTGTATATCTCCTCTTCTCCCGGCCGAAGATCTGAACTGCGCATGCGCCCGCCCCAAGATCCTTTGGGGCCGCCCGAGACTCTTCAGTTTTTCGCACAGGAGCGTGCGGCGGAAACACAGATAAGTTTTAACCTGTTTGAAAAGTTTTTTTATTTTTTTTTACCGGCAGAGAGCCGTGACAGGATTGAGAGGTGAGCGAACGCCGGTATGTGTTCGCTCACCTCCCGATCTACTGAGCCGACCTGTGACAGTCTCATTGTCACAGGTTGGCTAGAACTATGAGGTGAGTGAAAAGCACTCACCTCATAGTTCTCCTTTAAGGGCAGGGACTCAAGTGAAATTGAACGTAAAGCGATGCGTAAATTGTCGGCGCTACATAAATACCAATAATAAATAAATAGCTTCTAAAAGGAAAATGTATAGGGGGAATCCCACCTTAGGCTAGGTTCACACTTTCCCGTGGGGTGCTTTATATGTTAATGCCCTTTTTTTTTTAGGTTGTGAACCGACAATGCACCTCAATGTCCCAGAAAATGAACATGCACCTTTTGTGGCAGTGCACTGCAACGCAGGTCCATCAACAAGGTGTGTTGGGTTGCCATTTAAAATGTATGTTTGCCATAGGTGGAGGGAAATGGTAGCATATAAAGCATGCCACCTTGGGTGGCATAAAATGCCACCCAAGGTGGCCGCCTCCTGTGGTATAAAAAAGCTTGCCGCCTCCTGTGGTATAAAAAGCATGCCGCTGCTGGTGGCATATAAAGCACGCTGCCAGCATATAAAGCATGCCACCTTGGGTGGCATAAAATGCATGCCAGCACTGGTGGCATAAAACGCATGCCGCCACTCCAGATGTGACATCAGACAGGCTGCTCCATGACATCAGCTCCATCGATCTGAGATCTAACTTGATTCTTTCAAGATATCATTTGAAATGTTTTATATTTTATGAGTAACTTGTGAACCTTCGCTTATGCTGAATCTGTATCTGTATTCATTAAAAATGTAAGACATAAATAAGGAATTAATAAAAAAAACCCTAAAGGTTTGATAGCAGGGCCTGCAAGTGCAAACAGTGCCTTAAAGAGGGAATGTAGCCACTTGTCTGCCGGGTCCTTAAAAGACAGGAGAGTTCTCAACAGGGACAGTGAGGGTCTTGTTCAGCAAGAAATAGCCAGTCCACAACTGGGACCACCCACTTGTTAAAGGAAGCCATCCTCAATATGATATTAAAGGGCAAACTTACTTTTTTAGGATACTCCCAGCCCCATATACCACCATTGAGTGAACCTGTATTAAGAAGGGGATGTATTGCAGAGACAAGTCTATAATTGTGCCACTTTATAGATCGCTGGTCCGGCCTCATCTGGAGTACGGAGTCCAGTTTTGGTCTCCAGTACTCAGAAAAGATGTCCTTGAGCTGGAAAGAGTCCAGCGGAGGGCAACCAAACTAATTAGGGGAATGG